TGTATTGGTCAACTCCCAAACTGCCCCCTAAAGTATGGATTCATCTATTTACCCAAGTTGTCTATTTTAAAATGGGTTAAAGGTTAAAAGTTTAGGGGGAAAGTAGTTAAAGAATGTTTTCAGTTTGGGGAAAAAAGAGACATACTGATAAAAACCCATAAAGAAATTCAAAAAAACATTACCACGCCATTGATCTCAATGATCTTTTAAAATTATTGACGGTACACTCACAAAATGATCACATTGAAACCACAAAAATAGTTTGAGGGGCAAAATAGGTAAATTGATACTTTAATGGGGAACTTGAGAGCTCACCAATACTTTTAAGGATGAATAGTTATTTTGTCCTATATTGATATGAAATGTATGAAATAAAATAGGGAGCTTTAGTTCATAAGAAAATACATGGGAGGCATTTTGGAGATGAGAGGGAAGCAGTCAATGTATATGTATTGAAAATTAGGCTTCCCTTTCAATGACTGGAAAATTTACAACACAAGTTATTAGCTACTGGTCAGTAATACAAAAGAGTTGGAAGGAATATAAATGCTCAAAATACACATACGATGATTGCATTTATAAGAATAACAGAGGAAAACACAGTCCAGAAGAAGTCAGAAATATTCTTTATGCTTATGGGAGGTCCCAAGGATACCTTTTTTGAGCTGCTTCCTCTTCTTCCATGAGTAACTTCTGGCATCTCAAGGCTTCTGCATCCTTATCAGCCAGCCACGCTTTCACCTATAATCCATCAAAAAACGCTTGTAAGTTCAAAGTTGAGAAAGCTAGCAAATGCACTTCCGAAATTTAGATTATTATGACTATACCAGTATATGCTCTAGAAAGAAACTAGCACATGCAACTAGATTTTTCATCTCCAGAGCATTCTTCCCAGCTTCCCCGTCAAAAACATACTTTTGTACAGACAAAGCTGTTCCAGAACGCAAAAAAGTCTTCTCACTTGCATCATCGAGCGCACTGAACAATCCCTGTGATGTTATAGGAAACCTGGAAGGCCTTGCTTGAACAACATCCTGCAGAATTGCATATATTTCAAGATCAGGTCTAAATACCAGATGCATATACATTTAAATAATTAATACATGAGCCTTGGAATAAATATGTAGGTGTGCTCATACCAAAAGGGTCACACCAGCTTTCACATACGTTTGTGGTAAGGAAGAAAATCCTGGCTTTCGCACCCATGAAGACAACGCCCTTACAATTGAAGAACCGGACACTTCCTAAAATGAAAACACATGTAAGAAAAATGTTTGCAGAAAGATGATGCGGCATCAAAGTACACATTACAATCAAAGACAAACATAAGACTATTTCTTAGGCAACTATCAGCTGAATTATCCAAACCAGGATAAAGATAGGAAAAAATAAAGTTCAGTTATTCCAGAACCATAGGCATAATATCTATATAGATAACTGAAAGGTACTCCATAATGCAGAATCCATCCTACTAGAACGCATCAAATTTGTGAAAAGTGTTGGCCTAAAAATTTCAAGAAGGCCAATAATCAGGTATTTTGATGGAAACTATCCATTAATTCTGGTAAGAGCTCAATTAGCAAGTACGAGTGATAGGCACAGCTGTAGTTTGATGAATAATGAGTTCTAACTGAATTAAAAAAGTTGTAGTTCATTTAATATAGAAGCTCCTTAATGATGTTCAAGTTGAAGAAGAGTGTTTGAAATTTTACTGTAGTATCAGCTCGATTAAGTTTCCTTTGTTACCTTAGGAGACCCAGCAATATGTCACTGAGAGAATTGACTTGACACTATCCACTACCTTATATTATCACCCAAAACCCTAAGATTGCTGTGGTGTAAACCAATGATGTAGAGTTTGAAACCGTTATTAGGTCAACCGGTCAAATTGTATAGTTAAGTAGCTGACCGTAATCGATATATTCTGGCAGTTTCAGGTTGAAACCTATAACTTACTCCTAAGGGGACATGTACTTTGGTTGATGTTATTGATTGACTGATAACTCCCAAAAAAAATATCCATTTGAGGAAGGGTGGAAACAGGTGAGGCTCAATCGGAAGATCCTACAACATCAACTTGCTGGTCCACATTATAATTCATAGGATTCACATACTGATCCGAAGCCATTTAGAAATCTATGGCACATCCGATTTGTGTTAGCCAATGATATTAGTACAACAATCTGATGGAATAGCAGTATATTATTTTTCAGTTGCAAACAATCAGTCCTATAGATTTAAATTAGAAGTGCAAAATTATGCAGCTTAGATAGATTACTTGCGAGTGTGCCAATTGGGGAGGGGGGGGGGGGGGGGGAGTCAATATTCATGTTTAAAAATTGACAGAGACTGTTACCATGTAAGGAGGGAGTATACATTAGCAATCTAAACTACAAGATTACCATTATCGCTTTGACATAGATTTTCAATTTGCCCGTGTGCATCACCAAATATTACATGATTATAAATCGTAAAATAAACATAATTGAAAACAACATCAACTAGGTTATAGATCCTCACCTCCACAGCCACATTCTGGAATGACACAAGTTCTTTAGCCATGTCCATTGGTAACTGAAAATCAAAGAGAAAAAAGTTAATGGCTTTTGTTATATGAAGAGGACCTACATTCAAACTTGCAATAGCACAGGAGCTGAGTTAAGGCATGACCCCAACGATGGTTGTCGATAACCAGGCCCTCGATTCCCCAAAAAATAGGTTTGAGTTTTAATATTATGCATCTGAAGTTATGTCCCTAAGGTTCCAAACTCTAACAAAGCATATTTCTCTACATGAAAACTTACGTTGTCCCAGAATGCCCCCAAGAGTTCCCTTGTCTTCGGGGAGTCCTACAAAATGTTTACAAGTCAGCCAACTGAAAAATAAAACAGTATCAATGGGCTAATGACATCAAAATGCATCAGAGAGATGAACAAAAGAATAAAAAATAAAATTGGGCTAGTAACATCACAATTCATCAGACAACTTCAGCAAAGCTGAGAAGGCGGTAGGAGGTCATGCACCTCCAACCAACATAAGAAGTTGGCTTTTTACCCAATGTAGAGACGGGGTCGGAATTGGCCATCCTAGTCATTTGGAAGAAATCAAAATGCATTGTCTATGACTTTAATCCCTGAATTCGAGGCATCACAGCATGCCATTGATTGGCTATTACAAACTATTCAAACCTCAGACCTAGTACATGATGTTGAGGATCATTTAGGAAAAGCTTCATAAAGTGAAGTTACATGAGCAGCTATGATACTGGCAGACATTTTTTTGTTGCCAGCAAATCATTACGGTATTCAATATGCCCTAAGGCCAAATTTAGCAAGAGTATTAAGGTTGTTTGATATACATTATACAATGTTAATTAACAGCATGTTACCTTAGGCTTTTCTCTATGACATGATTGAAGGAGCTCTAGAATCCAAAGTAATACTCATTAGTCCCTGGTTTTAGTCCAGGTAACTGTCCTTTAAAAACAAACAAGTTAGTTACCTAATTAAAGTTTGCAAGTAGAGCACCTAAACCTTTCAAAATGGACTGATTTTAGATTTACTACTCAAATATTACCATACATCCAGGATGAATATCAAAATTCTTATTTCAAGTGAAAATTGCCTACTGTAGAAGGGACTAAGCTCCAAGAAGTACAGTAGCTAATCAACAAGATTACACGGCAGCCTTTTATCTAGAACCATCTGGGATACAAGAGAGGTGCTAACTTCACAAATAGGGAAGAAACTACATGGTTCACATAGAATGTTTAACTCAAATAGCTTTAAACTCAAATTCACCTAGTGCACTAGTCTACTTGAAATGAGTTCAAATAAGACAAACGGATGCAGAAGACGTTAAGGATTTGTTCTCATATCAGTAATGATCTTTCATTGGAAAAGGCATGTAATGCATCTGCCTTTTAAACACTCAAAAAAAGGCACATAAGAAAAAAAAATGGGAAAAGACGAGAAGGACGAAAGAAACCTTAACAATGTTCAAAGAACGGCGGTGCACGCGTGTATGCCGGCGATAATTAATGGAAGAACAAAACTCTAAAGAACACTTGTCACACTTCTGTAACTGCACCTTAGGTGGTGACAAGGGCCATCCTGGGAGATCTGCAACAAGGAAATAAAGATTTATTTATAATTAAAACCCTTACTTCAGCATGAGCTAAAACCTATGACTAGTTACAATAAAAATACCTGCTTCTGACACTTGACATACATTTTTCAGTCTCACCATTGGCCTTTGCAGCAGCCTGCGCAAAGGCAGCGACAGCTTCAGGAATATTAAGGGATTGCATTTGATCAGAGGTGCTCTTTGACCCTTTTAGAGGATTGCCATTAGCCTTGAAAGAATTGTCCAACTCCTTAACCCCATTCATCTCAGGTAAATATGACCTTGTGCTGTGGCAATGTTCAAGAGATTGCTCCATTCCTTCAATGCAGTTCTCCACCTTTGAACTTCTGGTAACCTTGTTGCTTCCCTGCTGGTCTAAAGCGTTAAGAAGTTGAATCCATTGGACAGGATTATCACCACCTCTTGAGATTGAAAGAAATGGATCTTTCCCAATTGCTTGGCAAATGATACTGTCAAGAGTACCTTGACCTTCCTTCTCTGGCTTCACAAGTTTTCCCTCAGACTTCATTGCATCAATTGTGTTGTAAGCTCTTATTTTAGGTGCTGGCATCTAGAAACAAAGGGATTTATTTTTGCTACCTGAATAAGGAAATGTGAAAATTAGATTGAAACCAAAATGGATGCTACAAAATATGATATACTTGGGTATTGACTTCAAATAGCATCAATGTTATCACTAGTGGATAACGTCCCGTAGCAGTGAGGTACTCCTAAGGCTATTTGCATGTATAGTGGCAAAATAGAAGCAAATAGCGTATAGTCAAATCGTGGTCAAATTTAAATATATTTAAATATTCTAACAAATAAGAAAAATTACAGAAAAGTCCAAAAATTCTACAAATACATATTTGATGATTTATAGAGATGCTAAGCATGAAATAGATGTGTAACAATTACATAATATTAACAAAGTACTATAAACAATAAAAAAGTACTAGAGATAGTGGAGGTAATGGAGGAAGCACCGGAGATGGGGAGGAAGCATCGACTGCTAGGGTTTTTTCTATTTTGTGGCTACGAATCAAAGAGGAAGGGAGGGAGGGGAGGGAGATAGAGAGAGAAGAGATCTGATAGGGTATTAATGATAAAATGGATCGAGTAGAATATAAAAGATATCCACCAAATAAAAGCGGCTTTTAGCGGTTAAAACAGCTATTCATCGCTTTTAACCCCTAAAACCCGCTATGGCACGCACTCACGAGCAAATAGCAGTTTTGGCCACTATTTGCTACCGCTTTTACTGATAGCATAGCAGTGGCCAGCGCTAACGCTAAGAAAACCATTATAGCAGCGCTATGCACCGCTATTTACAATAGTGAATATCATAACCTAAGGGACAAAAAAATCACGAAATCTAAAGGATAAAGTGTGAAAGATAAATTCATTTATAAATTAAAGAAGATAACAAATGCATAAGATGGAACAAGTTCAAGACATATAAGATAGTTTACGCTGTAATAAAATATCATAACATGTCCTTTTTTGTGATGAAATAGATCTAAGGCTGCTAATGGGTTGATACTCTGAGGCTCAACTTTAGATTGGGTCCATAAAAGTTTGCCAAGACTATTCCAAAAGTTAAATAGCAAGCATGAACAAAATCTAAGCTCACATAACAAATAAGAGAGCATAGCATATGGAGCCTTAGCCACGGGTCATGTTCAAGCTCGATCATTAGGGGCTTGTACAGCTCAGCTCCACTCAAATTTGAGCTTAGCAATGTAGATATCGCGATAAATAGCGCGAAATAGCACTTAGCGCAATGTAGTAGTAGTTTGCCACGAAGCGCTTGAAAATAGCACATTTAAAATTTAGCATACGCTATTTTATGCATATCGTACGCTATAAAACATGCTACTATGACATTTCAAGCATGCTACCATGGCATTTCAAGCGTACATTAAATGGATCAGCATATGTGATTGGGTTTTTTAGAGCACCAGTAGTTTGGACTGAGTTTCGAAGTGCACTTTTGCATAAACGGAACCAAAAAATATACCCCAAATCACTTTCTTTATTCTGTTCTCGCCAGAATAGAACCTAAATGCCATGTGTCCTCACGAGAAACCCTAAATCGCCTTCCTCCTCCTTATCGTCTCCACCTACTCCTCGTCTCATCCTCCTCGTCTTCATCGAGGGAACCCATCACTTTTCTCATCATCCTCATCATGAGAGCCGTAAACCATGAGTTCTCTTCTTCGTTTTTCTCCAAGACACGACAACAGGAATAGATCAATGAGGAGTATCCTGAAGACAAGGATGTGACAAAGATGACGGAGCTGCTGCCATTCTCCAACACAGCCATGAGGATGCTATTCATTCTTGTTAGGCCGATTATGTTTTACATGGCAAACAATTACAAATCAGTAGTAATTAGTTTATTTTCTACTTAGTTTAATTTTTTATTCAAGATCTATGATTATGTTTTATTGCTTTTTCTAGCATTTTAAATCACTGAAGATGATCTTGTCTGAAATATTTGATGCCTTTTGGAATGGCTATTAAACATATATGACTAATTTGTATTATGAAATTTGGATAGTATATAGATAATTGTGATAGTTTGAAATTATGATGATTGTACATGTTAAAATCATTATGTATATTTTATATTATAAATATTTAAATAATTAATAATTCACGTAAACAAGGTTATACATGACATTATTCACGCCTTATGTTAATGGCAGGCGAGCTCTATGCTATACGTTATCACTATTTTCAACATTGGAGCATAGCACTTTGGAGGCTGGAATAAGTTTGGACTGGACTTATCTAGGTTAAAAATCTTCTAGGTGAGTTTCTAACTGATTTCCAATCTAATGCTTTAATGTGCTTATAAGTTTAGTTCAATAATATTTGTCTTCGTGAAAATAGATTAATCTTCTAAGATACTCTCTTTGTCTCTGAGTTTAGCGCTTTCTCTCTTATTCTCTCATTTATCAATATAGATTATTCAATATAATAAATTGTCATGTTTGCGATTAAAATTGATATTAACACTATTAGGTTGCAAGAAAATTTTATGTATCATCTTAGGTATATACCCAAAAAGCACTACTATTCGGTATTTTTATCTTGCTGACTTCTAAAAAAAAGAAGCTTATAGTTCTATTGTTTTTGCACACATTTTTAAAATAAATTCGATACTAAGGTGTGAATACATACTCAAAAAACTCGAGCTCATCAAAAGCTTGCTCGAGGTTGTTTGATAGCCTGAATGAAAAAAGAGCTAATAAATTTTTAAGATCATTAGAATAATTGAATTAACATGAACTGTCAAAAGCTCAAATCATCCACCTAGATTAGCAGACCTGCCATTATTACATAAAAAAGAACACTCCAAATATGATATAGCTCACAATTTCATTGTGGCTGATAAACACAGATTAAACCCACAAAAGACAAACGCTCTAATTAATAGACAAACGCTCTAATTAATAGAGAAAAGTGTTATTCTTATCATTATATATGCCAACATTTGAGAACTCGATTTTGACTCCGTGTTTGGACCTTGAAATTGTTCTGCTTTATATGTCTTTTTGTCACTTTGGATGTTCTGATTCAACTTTCTAGCCCAATTTATTTTTCAGCCTAATCTTTGTCAACCTTTTACTACCAATCATTTCGAACTCACTCAATATGAGACCATGGCGATTCTCCTCTAGCTTCCTCACACCAAAGATGATGATTGATATTTTAGCCCACATCATCCCATCTAAAGTCTCACAAGCTCTTGTATTTCACATCCTAAATATATAGTGCACAAATATGGGTGAAATTAAATCGAAACAAACACTAACTTTTCCTATAAGAATTTGGCTCATGGCTGGCTACTTGATTCCATTACAACTATATCCAGATTTGATTCCTCATACAACTTTTTTATTCTATTCAATCTCCAAAATAATCATTAAAAATATTATTTGCTTTTTTCTTCCCTATTTCTTATTAACGATCAAACCAAACAAAGATCCAATAGGATCTAGGCGAACAAAATATCTACCCAGAGATCTAATAAACGATTTAATGATCACGCAAATAAATTCAATGGAATCACTAGATCAGGCATAAATATGACAAACTTAATCAGAAAAATTCAAGAAAAAATTACTAAAAAAATCTGACTTACGCGATATTTGATGAGATCCCAAGGCTGAGAGATCGCTGGGGTTTCCACGAGAAATCGAGATCGCTACGATTATTAGGGTTCGCTCAAATGCAAGTTCGAGACTATCGGAGGAGAGAGAAGGGCAAGAGATCGCAGTCGCCGAGGGGGAGGAGGTCGAGTTTATATATAAATTGGAGGTCGGTGAAATATTAGATTTAGTTGGAGGGTTAGAAGGTAATTATACATATGTGGGAAAATTAAAAAAAGTAGATGAGAAGGCTTTCGTGAAAATAGGCATCGACCATATTATGACCTTGCGATCTGGACCAAATGGAGATCATTAGCATTTGTTTGGCCTTTTCTAAATATATTTTATTTTTCAATTCGATTAACGAAATCCTTTTAAAGTAGTTTTAATCTTGTCAATAATAAATTCTTTTAGAATGTGTGACATGATGGCTTCGAAAAAATATCTATCCGGTATTTGTATCTCTACTAATTTTTCGTTCATCAACTTATCTTGTTTTCAATCTAAATTTTCACTTGCAATTGATGAATACGAAAAGTACTTGGAAAAATTGGGTTAACACCCTAAATCTCACGAAGTCATGTGGCCCAGTCCAAGTAGTTTGGTCCATAATAGGGCTGGGCATATTCGGTTCGGTTCGGTTTTATGTCCAATCCGTATCCAATCCGAATTTTTCGGATTCTCAAAACTCTCATCCAGATCCAGATTTTTTCCCCTTCATCCGAATATTCGGCCCAACCGAAATTCGGTTCGGTTCGGTTCAGTTTCGGTTTTGAATTTGCAAAGAGTTCTATCCAAAGACTTCTATTGTGAATTTACAAGCTGGGCATTGTCCTCATGATGAGGTTCCTGAGCTCGCCAACAAAGCTTTATTAGACTGGTTATCATCTTTAGAATAAAGTTTTGACTTTTGAGTTGATATAATTACGCAGAGAACTGATGTTTTAAAGATGTTGTTCATATAATACAACATGCTTATCTCTTGTAAGTATCATGTACATAACACATTTTGTGATTGATTTGAATCTTATGTAATTCTCAAGATCTTTTCTGCGAAATTTTTTAACTAAAGTTTAAGTTTATTTAATTACACGGGGGGTGATGTTTTGTATGATATTGTTCATATAATGTAGCGTATGCATCTTTGGTAAGTGCATCATGTGCATAACAAATTTTCTGGATTGATTTGAATCTTTACTTAGTTCTCAATGATATTTTTCTGTGATATTGTTGTACTCGTTGCTTGAAACTGCTCCTTGCGCCGTTTGAATCTATTGGATGATAACAGGAAAAGTTTTGAGGTATAAGTTTAGTCTCTAAACCGCCCAACAGAATTCGGGTCGGTTTTTTTTGGGCGGTTCAGGGGTTCAAACCGGATCCAAACCGATTTAATTCGGTTCGGGCGGTTTAGAGATTTCTTCTCATCCATTTAATTCGGTTCGGTTAACCGGTTCGTTTTTTCGGGCGGTTTTTTCGGTTGAACCGATTTTTTTCGGTTTTTGCCCACCCCTAGTCCATATGATAAAACCCTTAAAAATCCAAAAAAAAAAATGTGACCGAACCCCATAAACTCACTCCATACCTGTATTTTGACCTAGAAACCCGGAAGTACCCTTCACTCTAGCCCCAGCCTCGAAAATCCAGATCTTGAGGTGGAGCTCGGTCACAGTCGCAATTAATGTGACTTGATGGTGGTTTTTGGGGAAATTTTGGGGATTTTCCTCCATTATATCTCTACTTAACTCATTCTTGTGTGAATAGAGTTTATTTATGGTGGAAAGCCCACATTTATGAACTTAGGATTTACAATCTTCAATCCCCCTCTTGTCCTAAAATTCCCTTCATTACTCCTCTTAAATCCCTTTTATTTATGGCAGAGAAACCTCTAATTTGCATGGTGTCCTTGGGTAAGATAGTAGTGTTCTAAATGGTAACGTCTTCAAAATTTTTTGGTTTTTTTTTGAATTGAAGTTTAACGTGGCGGAGAGGTTGAAAGTTCCATATGACGCGTTATCAATAATGCATAAATCTAAAAGGAACCCCGATAGTTTTGCGATTGAGAATGAAGATGATTTGAAGTGTATGGTAGAGCTTAACCGTAATATTGGGTGTGTGGTGATCCATATGCGAGCTACTATAGATATAGATATTTTCAAATCTCAAAATACTCAGAATGAACCTTCTGAAATGTAAGTTATTGTTAAAATTTTGAGAAAGTTATGAATTATGTGATTAAAATATGGAGAAATGACTTGTATGAAGAACTGTTTTACGTTAGATGATATATATAACTAATACATGTTAACTATCTAGCACGAGTGTTAAGATTTACTAGATATGGATTACTTTTAATCAGCAAATGGTAACTATGAGCCATCGTCATTATTTTAATATAAATATTTATATTTGTGTAGTATTATGACTATATTAAAGTCACACTTTATTGATAGCACTCCTGTTGCAAGTCATAGTTCAGAAAGAATTCCCACTGATAATCCTAGTGGTGGTAATATAATGTGATCCGATGATATCATTAACAACACTGTAATAATTCATACTTGGTGACACAATGCATTAACTAAAGAGGGTCAAGAATTTGAAAGTGTCGATGAATTAAGATTAGCTTTGTCATACTGTTCTATAGCCAAAATGTTTGATTATGAATTTACAAAGAACGAACCAAATCGTATCCGAGTTAATTACCGATATAAAGAAACTTATGAGTGCCCTTGGATGTTGTTTGCTTCTCCTGTTAAAAATGAAAAGAGACTTTCGATCAAGAAGTTTGTGAATGAACACACTTGTGGACAACATGGCCAAAATACAGGTCGTTCAAGGACATCCTGTAAATTCATTACAATACAGTTGCAATCACTCCTAAAGGCCCGTCCAGAAATCTGCTCTGTTGATGTGCAAAAGGAGTTCTTTACAAAGTATGGCCTCAGAATTGATAATAGTAAGATGTGGTGGGGGTAAAGAGAGCACAAGAGAAGCTATACGTGGACATATATGAGTTGTATGACCAACTACTGTAGGCTGTCTAAAAATCAAAATAGATAGTTGATCCCCCATCAAACACCGATGATAGAAGTTACAATCTGACGACTTCCAGAAGGTTATAATTTGAAGACTTTCACGTAGATCAATGAAGGTTACAATCTGACGACCTTCACAACAACCGATGAAAGCTCTAGTTCAACAGCCTTCACAATCAACATCGGGAGTTACAATCTGACAACTCTCGTATTTTCGAGCAGCCAAGGCGAAGATCATTCAACGCCCCCCCCCCCCCGCGTTTCCAAGCTTCAACAAGCAAAAGACAAGCGACCCTCGCGTTTCCAATCCTCAGCAAACCAAACGTGGGCGGGCCTCGCGTTTTTCAACACCCAACGAGTACCTAACTTCGCGTCTCCATTCTAAAACGTGGAGTTAGGATCCCGAACGCCAACTTGGGCGTTTGACTTGTTCAAACATAAGCTGAACGGTTACAGGAACTGTTTTTCCTTCATAATTTAAGGGATTTCTGCCCCACTTAGGAGCGGATTAAGGGGGGCGGTTACACCCCTCTCAACCCCATTATGAAGAGAATTAAGGGGGCGGTTACACCCCTTAATTCCCTATAAATATGTGTAAACTCAACTGAGTTCAGACTGGCTTTTTTGGATCTGAGACTTGGCAGCGAGGAGGAGATCTTTGGCTTCTTCTTGGGGATCTTCGATTGGGAGTTTTGAAGATCAAAACTGCACAAAAGAGAGACCAACATTCATCTTTTGGGAGCAGTCCTGAGAGCTTTCGGCCTGGGCGGATTAACCGACTTTCGGTTCAAATCAACTCTTTTACAGAGTTCTTCGAAATTCGTTCAGAGTTCTAAAACTTGCTTTGCAAGTTCTCCACAGCATCAAACCGTGAGGAGAAGACATCGTTCCAGTGAAGCAAAACGTCAGATCGTCAACGGAGAGCAAACTTGACGCGAGCATTCGAGGGAGGCACTCTATTGCCACCGTGAAGAACCCAGTTTTAAACAAAGGGGAGAATCCAGATTGATTCTCCTCTCTTTTGTAATCAGGAAATCCAATTGTAATCGAGATCAAAGGAATACAAGTCAATTTTTCTTTCATTTCTTTTACTCCAAATTTTCTAACAAATAAACGATGTCGACTCCGCTGGGGACGAGCTTCTCTGATGAAGAAGTGGTGGCGCAATTCGATGTTCATCTCACTGGAACAACCATCGAAACTCTCGTGGTAGAGTTTGATCAAGCCAAGTTTGAGGAGGCTATCTCCTCCGGATCCCTTAGCCCCAAGGCTATGCGTAAGATCCACAAAGTTTCTAAGGAGACTAAAGCTCCAGTTGTGGCCGACTCATCAAAGGGTTGTCTCTCCTGGGGGTTGCACTGTTCATACAGTCCCCTCTCTGAAGGAGAAGACTTAGCTTCGGCACAACTCCAAGAAAGTCGATCCTCCAACCAACGTGAGCTTCGCGTTCATGAGCCTAAACGCGACCCTGAGCTTCGTGTTTCTACTTTAGAACACAAGCCTCGTGTTTATGAGCTCAAACATGAGCTTCGTGAGAACCAGACTGAACGTGGCCCTCAATGGCGCGTTTTACAGCCAAAACGCGGACCTCAAGCCTTCGTTGAACGCGAATTTCAACTTCGCGTTTCCCAGTCAAAACACGACCCTCGCGTCGACAACGAAGAACGCGATCCTCATGTTGCCAAACCAAAATGCGGACCTCGCGTTTCAAGTTCCAAACACGACCCTCATGTTGCCAAACCAAAATGCGGACCTCGCGTTTCAAGTGCCAAACGCGACTTTCGCGTTTCAAGTGCCAAACGCGACATTCGCGTCTCAAGTGCCAAACGCGACCCTCGCGTCCCAAGTTCCAAATCTAATACAGAACCTGGTGTATATCGTCGACTAGATCGAGGGGCGGATATAAAAAGTTCATGGATTCAAGGAATCTCAACCACATCCATGTTCACCAAGAGCCAGTCCTGTCCAATCATGGACTGGGGGTTCCAGTTCAAACCTCACGATCAGTGAGTAATTCTCCTCGAATCTTTACAACAGATTTGAGAGAGTTCATATCGAGTGAAAGATCGATGCAACAAATTATTCGTTCGTTCCAATGTGAACGACTGATCCCTAC